TTGAACTATTATGCTACATTGCGAACATACCTTGCTCAGCATGTTTATCCACTGAAACAAAGAGAACAGAGATCAAAACCAACGTGGCGTAGAGCAGGATCAGGCGAAAAATTGACATGACGCGTGCGCGCTATATAGCCTGTCGGAGAGGGCGCGCGGGCGATCGACAGCACGTTGGATTTTTCGCTTGTCACGCCGTATCTCTGGAACGCAGGGAAATCGCCACGTTAGTATCCATCTTCTCATTGCTCACAACCCGTTAGTGCCACTCATTGGCCGCCTCGTAGCCTGAACTCGCGCGGATAGACAGACAGACAGATCAAGTACCGTAACCCTCGCTGCCATGCGCGCCGAGGGTTAATAACTAGAAGAATGTTCAACATTGTTGGCGAGCGGGAGCGACCCAAATTGGGATTTGCCCGCGATATTCCGGCTGCATAACATGCCGTCAGCGTACAGCTTTCCTTTCGTGAAACAAGACAGAGCTGCCTGTCGCTGTTACATGCGTATATACGGTATATTGCCAGAACGGTGAGCAGGATCATGTAGGAAGAACGGCACCGCGTACGAAATGAAAGGGGCGTAGTCACCGTGACCTCTGGCGCTATCGTAACGGCGTAGTTAACCCTCGGCGCGCATGCGCAGCGAGGGTTACGGTAGTCGTTCTGTGTGTCTGTCTGTCTGTCTGTTACCACGTTATCTGGCACCACGCGCAACAAACAGGCCAAAAAGCGACACCAACGGGTTCAGCGCTACACTGGCTTCATTTCAAAACTGGCGATTTTCATAAAAGTACCGCGTTCAAAAGTTATGGCGTGAAAAGCAAGTGAACAAGCCAATATGCAAATTAGCACGGGCTTACCTCGACAAGATGTGCTTGATCTGCGTACGTTGGAGGCGCAAGACGTCACAACGAAGGGCGTGTATCGACTCCCGCAGCTATCTACTACTGTAGCTAGCCCGTGTCAGACTCTACTAGCGGGAGACCACGAGTAAACGCATACTACGGCCCAGTCCATCAATTAGCGGTATCGCGCAAGCGCAGTTCGCCGAGGGTTTGCACTTCAGTGCTTTTTCATTTAGTATATACGAAGTCCGAGAAGTGATGTGTCTGATGGCAGATCTTGGTGGTGTCCACAGTGTAAAGTATGAAAATCAATACGTGACGGCAGTTTCTTCTCAAAATCATGGCTTCCACTGAAGAAGTGGCTGCTTTTGGTGCATTTCTGGCTGCGGCAGTAGTGTTGGGTGGAAATGGAGTAATTGTGGAGATAGATGAGTCGCTGAACCGAAGGTGTGTGTAGAAATATTGGTAAAAACTTGGGGTAATTGCTGTCCTTTGGCCCTTGCAACATCACTGTGGGTGTCCCCCTCACCATCAGTTATGGGTCTTTGGAATGGTGGACATTTCCCAGGTCCCAGGCCTTGGATACATGGAGGTTGTTCCATCACGGGATGCCAACACTCTTTGTATAAGTAAGACGGCAGATTCGAGTGTCTTCGTGCCCGCGTGGGAGGTTGGAATGCGCAATAGTAACCGAGGCGGAGCTGAGGTTTCTATTGCGTCATTCCAACCGACCACGCGGGCTGCAGAACCTCGAAGACACTCGAATCTGCCGTCTTAGTTGTTAAGAAAATGGATAGCCGTACGGTTAGCTGTAGCTCGTCCGCCTTCAACCTTGGTTGGTAGCAGCTCTTTGAAGAAAGCTCCGGGGAGGAGAGTTCTCCCAAGCTGATACCAGGCGCAATCCACGATTGCGTCGATGCTGGTAAGTACTGACTATTAGCGGCGGCGCCTCAACTTTTCGACGGTAGCCCGGCAGGGGAGAGGCCTCCCGATTCCACACTGGGCACTGTCTAAGACTTCGTCGACGATGACTGAGAATCACTGTTATTAGCAGCATCGCAACTGTTCGAGTCAGGGGGAGGTCTCAGCTCGTGATCGTCGCTTCTGGACGCCACGGTCTGCGTGTACTGTAAACGGGAGGGTCTTAGTTAGAACTAAGCCACCTAACCGCAGGTATCTTATCGCTAAGAGACCTGCGTGTAGGTGTCTTAGCCCAAAATGAACCTCATTAGCTATTCATTTTCAAAGCATTCTTGACATACCATTTTCTTATACCCATAATTCGAGCACACACAGCACCAGGAACAACAATACACTCAGACCAGTGGTGCGCTTACAGCACGGTCAGCTCACTCCCCGCTGTGACTACTCATGGTGTAGTAAATAACTCGCTACACTTCGTGGACCCTGCAACTGGGGTGCACACCCAGACAGTAGAAAGCTACTGGAATCGTGTAAAAACGAAACTGAGGAGAATGAAAGGTTGTGATGGGGACCAACTACCGAGTTATTTGGATGAATTCATGTGGAGGCTGCGTGTGTAAGCATATTATAGTAATAATACAGACAATTTCGAAATTTCATTCCGTTTCGCATATTTGGCTTTACGTAAAACGTTACCGTATACAGACAGACAGACAGCGTCCAAACGGAAATCTGGGCCGTTGGTATATAGTACCACTAGGTTGGCTCGCTCCCGCTCGCCAACTATAGGGTCTCTCCACTCACAAGCCCTAGTGCTCCGTTTTCACTTTGTAGCATGACTTTCATCCCATCTGGAATGTAGTTGCTAGCCAACATGGGCATACCAATCCCTAGGCTGGAAAAACGAGGTAGATCATTCATGTAAGCCATCACGAAAATATAACACCTTTTGCTATAGAGTATGTTATTTCTTTCCCATGTTCACTCCCTTGCCTCCCCTGACTCCCTGGACTCAAGGGTTTCGAGGGAGAAAGCGAAGTCCAGGGAGTCAAGGGAGCCAAGGGAATCATGGGAGTCTAGGGAGCCAAGGGAGTCTAGGGAATCATAGGAGTCTAGGGAGCCAAGGGAGTCTAGGGAATCATAGGAGTCTAGGGAGCCAAGGGAGTCTAGGGAGTCCAGGGAGTCCAGGGAGTCCAGGGAATCATAGGAGTCTAGGGAGCCAAGGGAGTCTAGGGAATCATGGGAGTCTAGGGAGCCAAGGGAGTCTAGGAGTCCAGGGAGTCCAGGGAGTCCAGGGAATCATAGGAGTCAGGGAGTCAAGGGAGTCCAGGGAGTCATGGGAGTCAGGGAGTGCAAGGAGTCCAGGGAGTCAAGGGAGTGCAAGTAGTCAAGGGAGTCATGGAAGTCCTGGAGTCCAGGGAGCTATGGGAACCATGGGAGTCAAGAGAATCCAGGGAGTCCAGGGAGCCATGGGAATCAGGTGAGTCATGTCCAGGGAGTCCTGGGAGTCTAGGGAGTGCAAGGAGTCCAGGGAGTCAAGGGAGTCCAGGGAGGCATGGGAGTCCAGGGAGGCATGGGAGTCCAGGAAGTCCAATGTGGAATGTATGAATCTAAAACTTAAAACCGGTAGCTATTTCTAGACTGCCTGACTGGTGTACTACTACATGTAGCTAACCAGCTTTTGAATGAATGAAAGTGTTCTGCTGTATAATATGTAGTCTCCTACATCATATGCATGGTAAACAAATCTATTATAAAGCTGTAGAAAAGGATCTCTGTCTAATTGTGTTGGCTGATCTCACCTGGCAACCTTCTATCAAAAATGCTTGGATTGCTATGGAGGGTTTTGTCTAGTTTTGTGTGGGTGTCAGCCAAGTGCTCTTTGTATAATGCATTTCTCTTGTGGTCCTGTATCGATCTTTACTGTACTTCTGTGAGAACTAAGGTGAACTGCATGTGTATGTGGACATTATATTATTGTGTGTGTATTGTGTATCACTTATACTGAGTTATATAAATCATTCTAGAAGGTTCTACAGCATTGTGTGTGAATTGTGTATGTATGTGCATGCATAGAAAGTAGGTCACTTATGTTGAGTTATGTAATCATTCGAGAAGGTTCTACAGCACGTGATTGTGTCAGTATAATAAGTAGCAGTGTTTTTGTACTGTGTGTGTGCCGATGATTTGAGTTGATCGTCTGGTCGGTCGTGTGTCGACTGGCCCAGTGACAGGGCCCTCCGCGTGGTCGCTAGTGGCACTGTCACAACTTCCCATACCTCTTAATGGATATCAGCTGTCTTGAATAATATGTCCAGAGGAGGGCAACCAATAAATCCCCTCTTGGACTACAGGATCAATGGCTGCCTGTGCATGATAATGGTTGGAAATTATGTCGGAGTTTCCATCAGAGCACTTCCATATCGCTAGTTTGTCCAGTTCTGTAGTCAGCTGGCCATAGTTCAGCCACGCTGAAACACTCTTTCTGTAGGAGTTACTTGGATATATTATTGATCGCATCCTTCCACTCTCTGGAACTCTCTTCCCTCTCTTGATTGAACCCTTCCTCTTTCTTCCATTTCTACAATTTTGCTATAAGAACATTTCCAGATTCATCTCCAACTTTAATTGTGTCTACTTCAACTATCTATAATGTCCTTGCCCTAAGTGTTCTAAGCTACCAGTAAAAAGGTATTCTTTGTTGTTATAATGTGTTTGACATGTTTTGTTGTTTTTGTCAGGCTCTGCGGGCTAAATACCTGTCTATCAACACACTTTGCTCTTTCTTTCCACCTGCATTAATAACTAAGAGGTAGAAAGGCACAGACAAAGCAAACAAGTCAACTACAACCAGGAGACCAAGGAAAAAAGAAGAGCTGCCCTGGGATTAGAACCCAGGACACTCTGCAGTCTAAACGAACGCTCTACCAACTGAGCTACTAGCTGATCAAAGACACCCACTCCAAATCAAATGCACATGCCAACTAAACAACTACGAGGTAGCTAGCTACAAAGGCAAAGGCACAGACAGCAAGCAAGTCAACAAACCCCAGGACAACATGATTGCATCAAAGTCGACCTATATTGCGCCGCGGTCGGACGTTTCCAAGTGCAGGTAGCTAGCTAGGCGTCTAGTTAGCACGCACGATGAATAACTTCGCACCCATCAGCAACGGGAGGCGCGCCCTTTTTGCGCGCTCGCCAGAACACCTTCTTGCTTAGTTGCTTGCTTCCTTCTGCAGTTGAGTCGTCGCTGCTAGAGTCGTAGACTAGGCTAGTAATAGAACTGAGAGGTGAGCAGAGAGTATCTGAGGCATCCCCAATAGGAAGCCACCGTTTGACGCCGGGGTTGAACATGGCAGGAACTTTTGGCCTAAAACAGCCCCCACTTTATGTGTCAATCCAGAAGATTCTAAATAAGTACCCTGACGGACAAATATTCAAGGTAAAGTCTGTTAGCTACCTGTAATGTAAAACAAGCTTTGCCAAAGCTAGTGCAGATACAAAGTTTCAGATGCAAGTGTAAGGTTCACCTAGTGCCCTTTAAACACCCCATGTATAGGACAAAAAGACAAGTGCCTTGGTTTGGCGTAGTCACTTAGAGTATCTGCATGAGTGACATAAATTACTTTCACAGGAGATAATCCAGAATGCTGATGATGCAGGCGCCACTGCCGTCCATTTCTATCTGGACAGCAGGAAGCATGGAACTGACTATCTGGTTGAACCTAAACTAGCCACGTTCCAAGGCCCAGCTCTATTGGCCTATAATGATGCAGTGTTCACTGATGATGACTGGCAGAGCATCCAGCGCATGCAGCAGAGTTCCAAAGTCAAAGACCCATTTAAAGTGGGAAAATTCGGCATCGGATTCAACTCTGTCTACCACATTACAGGTACGTGCTTGTTCTAATTTCTCCACTGGGGAATGTTGTATATACTATTCATGGGCATGGGGAACATAGTCCATGTAACGTCCCAAGACTGTGATAGCTTTGACATGATGAGTGGGGTGGTATGCAGGTGGCATCACTAGCCTCAGCACAGGATGGAATAGCTTGTATATACAAGCTCTCAATTCCTTGTGTATAGGCTCTAGGGATAAAATAGACTTGCTAGTGCTAATCATGTTCCAGCAGCCATAGTTATTGCCATCAGTCGTCCACGCGAGAATTCGCTCATACGCGATTTCACGATTTTCGTGTCATCATAATAAAAATATTATTCTTCATCTTCTTCTTCTTCTTTAAAAACCCGCTATCTCCTTACCAGTACCAGTTCAAGCACTGATTTTTTCACTGAAGGTCTCCAATTTCGCCGGAGGTGTGCACGGACATCAAGCGATAGTTTCTTTCTTGCCCCTAGTTACTACGGTAGATCATGGAGCTCTTCCATGGTCACAGTGAACAACGCCATTTGCTGCTAACCCCTTATTATTTTGAAGACACCCCTTTCATTTTGAAGGCATCAGTGAGCCGCGCACATGCGCCAGGCAGGGGCTTTGTCCAATGCGCTTGCAAGCGTATTACCAGACGAGTTGGCAGACCTGCAGAGGAACTCTCAGCCTCCAGTGCCTTCTGTAAGTAAGTGTGGACATTTCCAACTGGCTAGCTTGCTGTTGATTTGCTCGAAGAGCAACTTGGGTCTGAGCAGTGTTACGCGAGCCTTGCGGGGCGCTCAGTCAAATGGGTCTTCAATGTTTGTCCCCCCCAGGTTGTAGCCTGATTACCAAAGCCTGCCCATGAAACCACAACCATGTGCAATAATCTAATTACATCCTTGTTGAAGACAATACATGAGGTGAATGGATATCTAGCCCCTGCTTCAGGCACTAGCAGCCCCATTAGCTACTACTTTCAATTTGTCTATGGTAGCCTATCTACAACATGCTCATGAATATCAGAGTGACTGTAACAATAAATGCAGTGTTGTCATAAGCTGTTAAAAATAGTGGAAACAAGTGGAAAAATCATTTCTTCAAAATGAAAGGGGGATATAGGGATGGCCTGAAAAGCACCAAAAAGGAAGAAACAAGGGGTCATTACACAGCAAATTTGCACAAAGCTACATGACACCATCCCTATCTTTGTTCAATATTAAACTTTGCTTATAAACAATAAAACAAAGATATAGGGATGGTGTCATGTAGCTTTGTGCAAATTTGCCGTGTAATGACCCCTTGTTTCTTCCTTTTTGGTGCTTCAGGCCATCCCTATATCCTCCTTTCATTTTGAAGAAATGATTTTTCCACTTGTATAGCTGAACAATGAAAGTCTAAGCCAAAGACGTATAATATACCCCAAGGGAGGGATGAGTAGCTCCTCATGAAAAAAAACACAAGTTTAATTAACCATAGAATGGTGAATGCGAAAATAGGGGGTTACAAAAGAAATGTCTTGCGATGGAACAACTGACCCGTGATATAACAATCGAGACAATGAGATAAAAACAAGGAAGTCGGGGGTAAATGCAGCAGGTTGTAAATAGAGGCGTGTTCTCTGGGACATCATAATTCACCTTTATAAAGCACCCTCGACGCACTGTGCATGCGCTAATTCATGGCCTGGACTACTAGTCTGTGTGGTCTGACACAGGCTAGCTACACTAGTAGATAGCATACATGAGACCCTTCGTTTTGCCTTTTTTGCCTCCGAGGTGTATACACACAGCAGGCGGATCAGGTAAGTTTAACCAGCTAGCTATGTTTTCACGGCATGTCTCTCAAGCACAGTCGTTTCAGGAAAATCACAATTTTCTTTTTCAGGCTAGCATCGTTCTGAAACTGTTGGTATCGCTCATAGGCTGCGCTGCCTCGTAGCCTGTAGTGCCAGAATGAGCGTCGACAAACAGACAGACGGACACTGTAACCCTCTCGTATGGGAGGCGAATTGTGCCAAAATTCGACGATGTAACACTCTTTTGTCGAATTTTGGCACGATGCACCCCCCTCCCCATATCTCTGCACATGCTATCAGAGGGTTAATTCATGGTCCTTGTCTAGATCTGCCAACAATAATGAGTGGGAGTAAGTTGGCCTACTTGGAGCCACATGAAGAGATTTGGAAGAAGGAGACAGGTCAGTGGTATGATATCCAACAACAAGCTGACAAGCTGGATACATTTGCCCCTTTCAACAACCTAAACGGTTACTTCACTGGGAGTAGTTGTTTCCAAGGCACATTTTTCCGCTTTCCGCTACGCAGTGTCAGTCCGGGAGAAGCGCGTGTCATCTCAAGTCTACACTATTGACAAACTGCGAGAAATACTAACAGCTCTGCGTGAGGAGGCAAGAGATATATTGCTCTTCCTGCGCTCAGTCACGGTTGTCGAAGTACATGAGATATCAGACGGAGGAGACTGTACTGAGCTACTTAGAGTCAGTAGTGTTTTTGAAGGCAGCCAACTTCAGTTAAGGTCAGAATTCCACCAACAGCTTAGAGCAGCTTTTGAAAGGTTTTCATACGATATTGTTCACCCGATTGAGCGCACTGTCCAATTCAAAGTGAATGTTGAGGATTTCATTGACCCAGTAAACAGCTCAGAGAGTGAGTGGCTGGTGGCCTCTAGAGTTGGGTCACCTAGCAGTGAGGTTCATCGTATAGCCAAAGCTCTAATGGCCCTTCCCTGGGTAGGAGTAGCACTCGAGAGTACAGAGAGCACCGCCATTGGTGGCAGGGTGTTCTGTGTTCTCCCCATGCCTAGTGAGGTTTCTTGCCACCTCCCAGTACATGTAAATGCCACGTTCAGTCTTAATGATGAACGTAGGGAGCTAAAATGGGCAGGTGTTGAGAGGAAAAATGACCCATCCGCAGATTGGAATGGTCTGATTATAGAGCACCTTCTACCCCCATGTTATGCTGGATTGCTACTGGGTCACGTAAAAGAGCTTTTCACAGGTTATAGAGCTTGGCCTGATATTCACAAATTGAGGCGTACTCACTGGGAGGTAATTCTTAAGGCTCTCTTTGAAGAATTATTTTCAGGCTCTGTGTTTTTCAGTAGTTGTGGTGGTTGGGTGAACCACAAGGATACTCTATTCACACCAATGGAACTGGATAAGAAACCGCCTAGTGTGGTGAACACTGTGCTTACTGCTTGTGGGGAGAAGATTGTAACCATTCCACCACAGGTTTGGGATGCCCTTGGTTATATGTCAATCAGTGTAGCAACCATTACGCCTAATCACACCAGATTAAAGCTTAAAGATAATCAAGGCGTGTATACTCGCTACTCTCATCAAGAAAACTTTAAGCTACTCCAGTATTGTCTATCTGATGGCATATTTAATGATCTTACTGGTATTGAACTATTGCCTTTAGCTAACAACACTTACACAGTTTTTAATAAGAGGAATTCATCACCAACAGTCTACTTGTGTTCTGCTGAGTACCAATCTTGCCTCATTCCTGGTTGTAAGGACCAACTTGTAGATACATGGGAGAAAGATGAAGAACTGCATCATTTGCTAACACGTGTTGCTGAATGTGAGTATACACAGATTAAATTGCTTGATGCGTCTAGTGTTGCAGACTTACTGAGAAAGTGTTTGCCAACATCTGCAGCTATTACACTTCCTCATACTTCAATCTGTCGAGAGTGGTTACAGTTGTTCTGGAAATGGGCTGTGCACCAAGAGACCCTTAAAACATTCTCTCGGCTGCTAGTGGTGCCTGTATATGACCCTTCGTCACAAGTAGAAGGTGTAGAAAGTCTCACTACTGAATCTGCAGCAGTGTTTAGTGAAGGATATATTGATGATACTCTCTCGGCTGTGCTTGCAAAGTATCATGTTAGGTACTGTGAACAGATGAGGTTTCCTTTCGTCTGTACACTAAAATCCCCCCTCTTTAAAGACCTTTCTTCTGATGGCATACTAGACAGTATATACCAGGCAAATCAGTATAGCAATGTGGAGTTGACTTCTTTAGAAGCAACCTACTTTAGAAAATGTCTGTATGAATACTCAACAACCTCGGAAAGAAATAACATACTCCGGCAATTAGCTCTGTTTACTGCTATAGATGGGGAACTTTACCCTGTGGGTCAAATACACTCCCCTCAAATAGAACCACAAAACTTTACACTTAGCACTCAATATTTGCCTTCTCAGCTCATTTTGTTCTCAAACTCAGAGCTATGTCAGATGTCGCTGTTAAAGACATTGTCTGTTCCACAGCCTACAACTGCTGCTTTTCTTGTTGATTCAGTGTTTTCTGTAATTGGCAGTAGGCAGATCCCTTTAATGAAAGAAGTATTGGAGAGTTTTGATTTCATTTGTTCAACAGTTACTTGTACAGAACAAAAGCAAAAAATAATCACTGAAATGACACAGCTTCGATTCTTGCCAGTACTGCAAAGCAATGATCATCTCTGCTCACCTTGTAATCTGTTTAATCCATCTAATCCACTTCTGCAAGACCTTTTTAAGGGTCAACCAGTGTTCCCACTTGAACCTTTCCGTTCAGTAAAATGTCTTGATATTCTAACTAGATTTTGTGGACTTAAAAAAACAGTGTCTCCCCAGGATATAATTGATGTCATTTTAGAAATTGGTGTGCTAGGAAAGGAAATACTTTCGGCTGATAAAGCAAAATTTACCAGAGCCAAAGCTCTCTTGAAATTTATACAAAATTGGGATGATAATACATTGTCACAGTCAGTTACATTAAACAACGACAATATTAAGCTGTCACAGGCATTTGTAACCCTTGCTCATGAAAGATGTTGGCTCCCAGTCCAAGCTTCGTCACCACCTGATTACCCAGAATTCCTTTGGAAGGGAGACAAGTTCTCTCAACATTTAGTTTCATGTGGATCACCCACTGTCATATATGAAGACCGTTCATCTTTAAAGCTAGCTTGTGGTTCACAAGCATATTTCATAGACCACTCTTTCCCGGCCAGTATTAGCAGACTGTTCAAATCAAGCCCCTCTACTTTAGTAAACCATACAGTTAATCATCTGTCAGAATTTGCTAAACATTCTTCCAATCTGACACCTGTGACAAAGAAGAAAGTTACTCTGGCCATCTATCAAGTAATGCATGAAAATGCCTGCCAGGCATTGATTTTTAAGGATTCTCTACCAAAAGAGTTAATCTATATCCCTAAGCTTGATTCATTTGTCTCTCTAAGTATGGTGGCAATAGAACAGAATACTTCGTTTCGCCAAAACTTGGAGCCATTCATCTACACTCTCCCTGATGATCTGTACCCCTTTGCTTCCCTATTCAAATCTTTAGGGGTTGAAGAACGTGTTTCCAAACAGCAGATTGTTAGAATTCTTGGTAAAATCAAAGAAGGAACTCCCTGCACTTTGGGAATAGAGATCAAGGAAGCGTGGGAGTTGGTTATGACAATCCTAAACTGACTCACTGGTAACGGAGAGCACGTTGTTGATGTCTCAGACTGTGGCAGTCTCTATGTCCCAGTAGAGGACGATAGCTCAGACTGGCCTATACTAGTGGAGAGTGAGGGAGTAGTATACACTGACAATGACTTTCTTAGGCGGTATATTGGAGTCCCTGAAGCAGAGTCCTACAAGTTGGTTAACAAGAGAATTCCACCGCAAATGGCTCGACTTCTACGCCTAAAGCCTCTCAGTGAGTTTCTGGACATTGCTGAGGACGCCTTTGAGGATATTGGACAACATGAGCCACTTACAGTGAGGCTGAAGAACATTCTCAAAGACTATAAGGATGGTCTCACTATTATCAAAGAGTTACTCCAGAATGCCGATGATGCAGGTGCCACTGAAGTGAACATATGCTACGATGCCAGGAATCACAGAGTAAATCCAGGGAGCTTGCTCTTTCCAGGTATGGCCAGTTGCCATGGTCCAGCTCTTGTTGTCCACAACAATGCAATGTTTACACAGGAAGACTTCAAGAACATTACTAAGCTAGCTGGGGCTACTAAGGAAGGCAAAGCCCTGAAAATTGGGAAGTTTGGAGTTGGCTTTTGTTCTGTTTATCACATGACTGATGTTCCGTCATTTATCAGTAATAATTTCCTGTACATCTTTGATCCCACTCTTGCTTGCCTCAAGGATGACATTAAAAACCCAGCCCAACCAGGAAAGAAAGTCACTCATAGCACTAGCATCGTCATCAACTCCCAGCAGCTAGCCCCCTATCAGGGTCTGTTTGGTTTCCAAAAAGGCTGCCAGTATGAAGGAACTATGTTTCGTTTTCCATTCCGCACCACTCCCAGTGACTTGAGCAGCAACATGTACAACTCACACACAGTGAAGCAAATATTTGAAGGTATCCAGAATAAGAGCTCAGAGCTACTTTTATTCTTACAGTCAGTCAAGTGTATCAAAGTACATGAGATCAATGACGGTCAGCACTCACCTGAAATGCGGATGGAGATCACGAAAACTGCACAAGTATCTGGACCAATTACCATTGTCAAAGTATCTTGCTCACCTGGTGAAACAAGATACTGGCTGGTTGCCACTCACACAGACACTATCCTGGGTCAGGTTGCAACTGCATCAGTGTCCTGTTTACTGGGTGTACCTTCTCCATGCACACCACAGTCCATAGAGGGAGAGGTGTTTTGTTTTCCTACCACTGTCAGTGAAGACAGGTCTCCCTGTTCACATCAGCAGCAACTTTGCAGTCACTAACAACAGAACTGGACTGTGGACATCAGACGATCGCTCTACAAATATTATTCGAGAAGTGCAGTGGAATGAATCACTGATGAAAACAGTCATTCCAAAGGCTTATTTCGGAATGCTAGCAAGTCTGAAGCAAATGAGCCTCTCTTCACAGGTAAAAGAGTACTTGTTCTACAAACTATGGCCACTGGGGGAAAACCTCACTATTCACAATCCTTGGAAGCTCATGATTGATGCTCTCTACCAAAATATACAGCAGAGTGATTTGTTTTTCTCAACTTGTGCTAATGAATGGTTGGCCCTGTCCAAAGGTCGATTCCTCTCCCCTGGTATTCTCTCCACCAATCGATTGACAATACCTGAGTGTGTAAGAGCTGTAGCCGCTAATCTGAATATGCCTATCATTGATCTCTCTCTTGAATATCATGTACACATTACAACACAATTTATGGTCACTGAAGAGTTCTTAAAATCGTTTTTTGAAAACATTGATTGTATTGAGTTCAATCAAAGAAACAAGGTTTTATGTTTAGCTCTCCAGTGCTATGCAACTGAGCTAGATCAGAATACAGAGCGAGAAGTATACCTTCATTCGTTGTTAACAGGCAATGCTTGTATTCCATGTACTCCAGATGGTAATAGGCTGAGAAAATGTTGTGAGGTTGTCAATCCCAAGGCACAGTTTGCTGGTCTGTTTGATGAAGAGGAAGGACTCTTTCCAATCAAAGAGTTCCATGAAAAACCACTGGTATCTAAAGCCATGGAAATTCTTGGTATTGTGTCTTCCCACATCTCCATGGAACTGCTGAAAGAAAGAGCACGAACCGTTAGTTTGCTGTATAAAGATTGCAGAAACAAAGGACTTGAACGTGCAAAATTGATCCTCACTTGTTTAGGTTCATATGTTGTTGAAAATGCTAAAGACGATGATGAAATGTGCATAATTCCATTCTTACCTGTCTTACCAAGACCCAAGGATTATGCATTTGATTGGTGTGGGGATGAAAGTAAGCTTCTTTCAGGAAAAGAATTGATGTTAAAAGGAGAGACCACTTATTTTGGGGACAAAAGGAGAAACATACATATGGCTGGTTCACAGGTAGCATTCACAAATGAATGTGAGCCAAAGGATGGTGGATGTGGTAGAGTGAGCTATGCTGCTAGGAATATCCTAAGAATCCGTGACATGCCAACTCCAAGAGAAGTAGTTGAACATTTTGTGAATGTAATCAGTGTTTACTCCTCGCAATCAACTCACAATGAGAGCATGGTAAAAGTAATGGACAACACAGTGAGACTCATATACAGTTTTCTTGAGAATGCATTGTCACAACAGAAGTCGACAGAGATGAAGAAGAAAGGTAAAGATCACAGCTGCAAAGTTGATATTTCACAACTTCTTACACTCCCGTGTATCTGGACTGGCAGACGGTTTGTTAGATGTGAACGAGTAGCTATGGAATGGAAGTCTGACACTGGACCCTGTCTGTACAAAGTTCCAGATAGGCACAATGTTCAGTTGTGGAAAGAACTTCAAATTAAGCCCAAATTTTCTATTATTGATTTCATCCGGGCCCTGCAAGAAATAAGTGAAGAGCATTGCTCTGAAATGGTATCTGACGCCCATAAAAAGGTGTTACTTGATATCGTTTCTGAATTAGTTGATTTAGACATTCCAAAGGAGCATCCAATAATCATGTTACCTGACAAAAATTTCGTCATGCATGATGCTTCCTCGCTTGCTTTCAACGATGCACAGTGGCTTCCACCAGACAAGGAAATTGATTATGTCAACCACAAACTAGTGACTCGTGACCTAGCTCAGAAACTAGGTGTGAGAATGGTACGTAGTAAAGTAGTTGACACACACAGAAGCAGTAAACCTTTTGAAAGTCAAAAGTTTGGCCAGCGTGAGAAACTGACAACTAGAATCCAAGGCATACTAAAGGATTACCCATTTGATGTGACCATACTCAAGGAGCTGCTTCAGAATGCAGATGATGCCAAGGCATCAAAGATGTATGTCATCTTAGACAAAAGGACCCATAAAGGAGGTCGTTTATTGTCTGAGGAATGGCAGGATTTACAGGGTCCCTGCCCTGTTGGTGTGGAATGATAGTGTATTCTCTGAAACAGATATTGAAGGCATTCAAAAGCTGGGCATAGGAACCAAACCATCAGACGCCGACACAATTGGTCAGTATGGAATAGGTTTCAACTCTGTCTATCACCTCACAGACTGCCCCAGTTTTATAAGTGCAGGTAATCTGTGCGTATTTGACCCACACTGCAAATTTTCACCAGGCTCCTCAATAAAGCATCCTGGAGGTAGATTCAAAGTCTCAAAAGGCTTTTGGTCAGACTTTCCAGACATGATACCAGCATACCTGCAGTGTAATGTGGAGGGTGGCTCTGAGTGCAGAGAGATTCTTGGTGGCTCCCTCTTTCGATTCCCACTTCGGCACACTCGAGAGCTAGTTGATGCCTCTGAAATAGTGTGTGAAAATGAGGAATCAAAGAAGGTGTTCGAAGGTGTTTTAACTGCCAGCAGAATGCAGGAGTATCTGCATAAGTGGGCTCCCCAGATGAAGCAATCCATGTACTTTCTTAACCACGTGACTGAGCTCAAATTCTTTGTTATATCTCAGTACGGTGGCAATCATCTCAGATTGGAGCATCACTATCGAGTAGGTATAGATGATTTAGCAGCCGCATATAGAAAGGAAATTCACCAAAAGTTGAAAAGCTTCAATGTGGCACAAGGAGCAGAGCCGTTTGTCACAAAATACCAACTAACCCTTACTGAAATGGGAAGTGGGAAGGAAATGAAGGAGAAGTGGTTAATTCAGCAAGGGGTGGGGGACATACACAACAAACAGCAAGAATGGAAATATATTGCCCGGGTGAAGCCAAGACATGGAATTGCAGTCCCCTTGGAGCCTGCAACCGATCCTTACACGTTTCGTGGGAGAGTGTTTTGTTTCCTACCACTTCCACTCGATTGCAACCTACCTGTCCACATACATGGCCACTTCATACTCCACTCCAATCGACGAGGACTGTGGACTGCCAGTGAGGGAGGTGACACGGACAGCAAACATCAATGGAACACAGCTCTTCTAAAAGCCATTGCTAGCTCATATGCACAACTTTTGCTTACAATAAAGGCCGACTACAAGATTGAGGGTGGAGTGGTTAATTCAAAGGATGTCAGAAAATACTACCTGACTTTCCCAAGTTGGACAGCACCACGAGTGAAATCCAAATCTGATGCAGAAAGTCCTGAAGTTGGAGCTACTCAACGAGCTGCAGGAATTTCCGTTGTACAGCGTCAAGCAAGCACTGGGCCACAGGAGCATGCTACACCTCAAGGTTGTACTTCATTAAAGACAGCTTCATTTGCTAAGTCTGAACAGATCACCAATACCAACTCCTACTAATGAATGGCGTAAACTAGCTGAAGATGTTTTTCGTGCTTTAGTTGCCATCAATGCTCCTATTATAGCGGTTCTCCATTCAGCACCCAGAAAAGACAGTAAGAAAGTACTGGAGACTATTGAATGGTGCCCTCCAAAAAACAAAGATCCTGCTTCACAAGTCCACTTCATAAACAAAACGTCCTCCATACAAAAGTCAGTACTTGAAAGGATAGGAATGAAAATAACCACTACACAGTTTGGGTTAGAGAGCATTTCAAAGATGTTGGCTGTTCCATTCCTTCTGTGTCTCCAACAGTCTCATATCAATATTATTCAGAGTTCCATGAGAAAGTATTGCCAGTTTATCAGTCATTTCCCTGCCCTGTGCAAGATACTGCATTTGGCTCTATTGACAATTTCAAAGCATTCCTCAAGTTTGTTTTGAACGCAATACCACCTAAATCGCAGCAGAAGACCCTTGAAGAACCACCAAGCCCGTCAGATACTGCAGCAGACGTTCAACCTGTACATTATCCTCCATTGCTAGTAACAGCTGAAGGATTCCTCAGGTACTGCAACCAGGAAGAGGACACAGTCATTAAGTCATCATTCTCTGCTCTGTTCCCAGAATGCTTACAGTACTTTCTCCACCCAGATATGTGTGACCTCCAAGTTCCAAACAGCTTTCTTATGAATTCCTCTAAAGAGAATGAAGAAGTTTGCTTGAATGTAATTGACGAGTGTCTCAACAGCCTACTCCCTAATGACTTAGTTAATGTACCACACACATTATGCTCAAAACCAATCGATTTGGTTCCCTTATGGGAATGCTTGAGTGAGGATACTTTTTTCAACAAGTTTTTAGGAAATATTGTTAAAAAATGGGCAATTTTGGTGTCAAAGAATGGCAGACTGTACAGCCATTTTCTGAGGAAAAAGCAGTTCTACCAATTATCCCAATAACAACAAATCAGCAGGAGGAGAGAAACGAGAATAAAGTGGACTTAGAAACATGCAGCCGTGTGTCTACTGTGTGTGCACACTTACATCTACCATTCTTGGACATTGAAACTGTTCCACCTTTAGCTGTTGAAGGTATTTGTCCAACTTTTTTTGATCCAGCCTTCATGCTCCGAATTATTTACAACTTCCACTGTGAATCAGATATCACCCAATTGATCACCGCAGACATGGCCAACACACTTCTTTCCTACTTTGGAAACATACATCTTAGAAAGGATGCAGAGAGCTTGAACTTACTAAAGAAACTTCCACTTTTTCAAACCCACCGTGGGCAATTTACCTCACTGAGTGGGAAAACAGCATATCAATGGCCATATGGGATGTGTACTGTTGGTCAGGATTTATGGCTAGGTGAGAATGATGAGACTGTCTTTCTGGATCCCTCAGGTGCCTGGTCAAAACTTAAACTCTATGATGAGTTTCAGGTCTACAACATATATCCAATAGAGTTATACTGCCAATTTGTGTTCAAAAAATTTGGATGCATGAATTGCAATTTTCGTTACAAACATTTGCAGCATATACGAGAAAACCTGTTCGAAGATGCAAAGACACACTCAAATTTGAAAAACAGCAAGAAGAGATATCCCTCTCTAAGATTCATTTATGATCTTAGAGACCTGCCGTGCATTGGCAATGATAACCCCCTAAGAGCTATAGGTGAATTTTATGATCACAAGAACCCATTTTAGTACGTTCAAGGAAAATTTCCAGTTTTTGCCTGAATACTTCACGGAGGGAGGTAATTACTTGTGTTGGAAAAATTTTTTTGAAGAGCTGGGCTTCAATGTAATAATTACACCAGCGAAATTTTTGGATCTGTGCTGGGAAATGGGCGAAAAGAAGCACACGTTTTGCACAAGAAAAAAGTCTCAAGTACTTTTTCAACATCTTTTTGAAAAGGATACTCGAGAATGGTTCTCTAACCACGACTTTCTGTCTAGTGTAGTGAATATTCCATTTGTGCCAGCAGATGAATGTCGGGGTTACACATGGATAGCAAAAACACCACCAGAAAAGCATGCCAGTGGTACATGTGAGATTATCACTGATGAAGGGCCAGTTTACCTCACAAAACTGAGTGGAGCTTGTGTTTATGAAGATGTGAAACTGGTGTGGTCGGTTAAGCCAGTATATCGTGCTCCACAGCACAATATGAACCCTAAAGATGTTCTTTCTCGACTTGGAGTCAATTTCAGAGCTAAAGTGTCAGATGTGGTCGAACACCTCATTACAATCTCTGAAACAGGCATATCAAATCCTAGACTCTTTGTTACATACACTGCCCCAGTCCCTTCTCATTGTGACATAGGGTTATTTCAGGTTTTTGCGAAATGCTTTGAGTTCTTGCAGAAAAATGCAGTAGAAGCAGATGTAGAAATTCTTAAGATGACTAATTGCATTCCAGTCCCGGCATCTGGTGATGACAGAACAAAGATTGTCCTGGTCAAACCTTCCCAGGCATTAATGACAGATAATGCCAAGGCTTTCTTTCCATACTTGCACAGAGTACCTTATGAGCTGATGGCCTCCAGGCAGTTGCTGGAGAGAATTGGAGTAAAGGATTCCATCCAGCTCTCACACATCCAACTTGTGTTGAGTACAATTCACAACCAACTGAATGGGACAACGATTGATCCTAACACAAGGAACACCATTTGTCTGGCAATAAGTCATTTGCAGTCACTGCTACTCACATCATCTGGGAAAGAGTTATCACCACTCTACCTACCAGGTCGTGATAACTGTTTGCACCACACTTCAAAACTGGTGTACCCAGATTCGTACAGCTACAAAGACTGCAAACTGCCTGAAACAACAGATTTTATTCTTTTTCATTATTCTGACCCCCAAAAGGATCAGTTTGACTTTGCTAACCAATTTGTCCTATGCTACCAGAGGAAGTGAGGCCAAGGCCACTGTCAGAGTTGTGCCATCAGCAGATTTTGGAAGAATGTGCAAATTGCAGTGAGGACATTGAGATGGCAAAGTGTCTGAAGATAGCACTCAGGCTTGAACAGCTACCAATCGTGTGCATTTCAAAATATGCAGAGCACAGCATACGACTTGATAATATTAAAGACTTGCTGTCTCCCTTCTTTCAGCGGGTACAGGTTGTCACAGTTGAAGATCTTGAGGTGGAGCTTGCAATGAAGAATAGCACATCATCAGTCATAGGAACAGCAAAAGTTGAATTTTATCTCAATACCGCCGCTGACAGCAGTAATTTCTGTCTCTATCTTGACTCAAAGATAACTAGAATGGTGGAAGAGCATATCCATAAGACTATGGTACAAGAGCTGCTTGGAGCAATCAACAAGATTATTGCAACATCAACACCAGGTATTGTGGTACCTGAGGTTCATGAGGCATTTTGCCTGTTTCTAAAGTCAAAGACAGACGAAGAGCTTCATAAGGCCTGCAGAATTCGTGGCATCGAAATAGAAGATGCCGATTTTGTGAGCACATTACAACCACAAGTTGGGCACCCGATTCAAAGGAGTGGCATTACATGCTGGACCAGAACCCAGACAATATCTTTCACGCACAAGAGATTGTGGGTTATGAGATAACTGAGGGAATCTTCGTTTTTGCCCAAGTTTTATACGCAATTCCTCCTGATGATTTAGATGTGGATCAAGACTCGATTAATCCATTACTGGCTAGATACATGATTGCTCTCCCTGACAAAGAGATGACTGTGACTGCCCTGGACATATACAAGTTTGTTAGGAAAAGAATAAATGTCCTAGCTACTGCCCACACTGATGAACAAACGGAAGAAGGTGAAAGAGAGGAAGAGCAGTTTACGGATGCTGCTGAAGCAAAGGAGCACCTGTGCCAGCAGTTGAAGCAGATATGGAAGATGGATGAGCCAGAAAGAAGTAGAGCTATCCGTCGTCTATACCTACGATGGCATCCAGACAAGAACCTTGGTAATGTAAATGAGGTATTCGTATTAGAGAGTCGGTAGACTCTATAATTATAGGGATGACGCGGGTGAAATCCCCACGTGATCCGCGTACAAAAACGACAAAAAACTCGGTGAGAATGACTCACTAGGCCTTCAAAACACACTAGCAATAGTTTACGGGCCCATATCTACCTATACATGTCCCCCAAGACCCCTTGTACGCACCTTCAGTCGTCCACGCCTGAATTCGCTCATACGCGATTTCACGATTTTCATATTCTTCATCTTCTTCTTCTTTAAACCCGCTATCTCCTTACCAGTACCAGTTCAAGCATTGATTTTTTCACTGAAGGTCTCCAATTTCGCCAAAGGTGTGCACGGACATCAAGCGATCGTTTCTGCATCAGTGAGCCGCGCGCATGTGCCAGGCAGGGGCGTTGTCCAATGCGCTTGCGAGCGTATTACCAGGCGAGTTGGAAGACCTGAAGAGGATTTTCAGCCTCCAGTACCTTCAGTAACTGTAAGTAAGTGTGCACATTTCCAGCTGGCTAGCTTGCTGTTGATTTGCACGAAGAAACGAAGAGTAACTTGCCAGAGTCTGCGCGGTGTTACGCGATCCTTGCGGGGCGCTCAGTCAAATGGGCCTTCATTGTTTGTCACCCCAGGTTGTAGCCTGATTACCAAAGCCTGCCCATGAAACCGCAACCATATGCAATAATCTAACTACATCCTTACAATACATGCGGTATCTAGCCCCTGCTTCAGGGCCCATTAGCTACTACTTTCAACAGTTACAATTTGTCTATGGTAGCCTATCTACAACATGCCCATCATAGTGACTGTAACAATGAAAAGCACTAAAGTGCAAACCCTCGGCGAACTGCGTATGCACGGTACCGCTAATGGATGGGCTGGGGCGATTGGCGTTTACTCGCGGTCTCCCGCTAGTAGCTTGCGGAGAGTCTGACACTGGCTAGTTACAGTAGTAGATAGCATGCGGGAGTCGATACACACCCTTCGCTGTGGCTTCTTGTGTCTCCAAGGTACACAGAGCATGCGGATCAGGTCGAAGTGAGCCAGCATA